GTAACTCCATTAATCAGTGGCAGTACACAAACATACCTAAATGTGTCAGAGCGTGACTAGTGACTACTGACTTCTGTGTGTTAAACGAACAAAATATACAAACTGAGATTTGTTATTCGGAGAACATTTTAAATTTAACACCAGTTTTAGACGAACAATTTTAACTTATATTTACAACTACAACTCAGTAAATGTTTTGAATTTATCTTCATCACCACTTACCAGGTTTTAATTTATTACACTATTTTAGGAGAAACTATTTATGTGGAATATTTGATATCAATATCACTATCGATATTTTATTAGTACACTGCTATTAGTTAAAAACTAGCTTAAAATAAAATCTTAATCCGAAAATATGTCCATTACTAATTATATTTATAATATAATTAGTAATGGACAGGGTGAGAACCCTGAGAGGATCCCTAAACTCCAAGTGGTGACCAGGCGAGCCCCTAACTTAAAGGACACTTTATTCAAGAGAAAGAAGCTTGCCTTAGGTTCAGAGTCAAGAACAACTGACCCATGCACCAAACCTGGCGAGAAGAAGAAAGGCAGACCCTGCCAAACTTGTCACCTTGTTAGTGGCAATTCCATGGTCTCCAATAATGGACACTCAGTCAGAACTCAAGGTGGTAACTGTAAGACACGCAACATTGTGTACGGCGCGACATGCAAACTTTGTACTGTTAATAACGTATACGTGGGAAAAACAGTCACCAGCCTCAGCCAACGTGTGAATGGTCATCGCAGTAAATATTATGAGATTTTAGAGGCGAGTAGTAAGGGGAATGTTGAGAGCCATAGAGTTTTTGATGACGAGAATGTTTTAGGGGCACATCTTTTTTCAGTTCATAATTTGAGGGAGAGATCTGTTTTCAATGAAAGTTTCCATTTTGATATTTTGTGTTCTACATCCCCAGATAATATTAGAAAGTCAGAAAAGTTTTATATTAACAAATTGAAGACACTTTATCCGTTTGGCCTGAACAATGTGAATTCCGTTTCTGGAAGCTAATTTTTCATGGTGTCCCGAATTTTATTTTTAAATCGTCCATTTTTTGTTTATATATGCAGTCTATCAATTTTTGAATTGCGTCTTTTTGATTTAATGAACTACTGCAGACTCCACATTATTATAGTATATGCGATTAATTTTGTTCCGATTTTAAACTATTCCATTTTTACGAGATGCTAAATTAATTTTTTGAGACTTTACTACATTTTTGATGAGAATTTTTGACATTTTCAAACTAACCATTGATATTCTCAGATTATGTGACTGATTAAATGCTGAAGATAAAAGAAATATATTCATTTTGCTAAGATTATGTTTGCGTTTCATTGCTCAACAGCTGTTCGAAGGATCAAATATAAGATTATCTATCTACAGAACGCAGCATAGTTGAGCACATATCTACTTTAGACTGGTCCAGTATCATCATTGATCGGTGAACACGAACCCTATAAATGTTAAAGGACTGTCTTAAGGAAGCATATGCAAATGCAAACTTGGTCACTTTTCATGATCTGGAAATCAATCGGTTAAGTCTTCTGCGGAAATGCCTGTTGACCAAGCGCCCTGTCCAATCCTTAAGGGCCAGTGGCTTGAAAGCTCTCCCTGAGGAACAGGCTCGTGCGCTCCTCCAGGAGGTGGAAACAAAAGCAACCCTCCGTGCTATCGAGAACAAGTCAAGGCAGATTAACATCTTGAAGAAACAGATTGCTGATATTCAGAGAGATCATCCTGACTCTCCTGAACTTATCAAAGATAGCAAGTTGCTTCACATCCAACAGAAGAAGCTTTTAAAGAAGATGAAATTTTTAGAGGAGTGTGATGGCACTAAATTTTCAGAATGGAAGCCTAAGAAGAAGGTAGTAGCAGTTTCAGTGAATCAGTTTACAAGGAAGGTCACAGCTAAGAAGCTCAAGAGAAAGCTCAAAGCAAAAGCCAGGAAGAACAGGAAGAAAGAGCAGGCAATGAGGAAGAAAGCCAAGGAAGCTCTTGAGAGAAATCTTGTTGTTAACCTGACAGACATTGATATTCCGGATTATAGCATTGCGGTCCTTTCGTATGGTCCTGGATGGATACCCTGCCCGGATTTTGATGAGATGCAGTTCAAAGTAGATGGGTACAATGCTGCCAACAAACAAGCATGGAAAGCTGTTTTTAAGAACTCAGCACGGGATAACGAAGTTCCTATGGAGCTACTGAAGAAACCAGTAACAGCTCCTTGTACTTCTTTTGAAGACCCAGCCATCAAGTCTGCAAAAGACAACATTGTCAATTTTGTAGACAACTTCAAGCCCAGAAAACTTGAATCTAATATGAACCGCTATGAGAGTGAAGGGTATATGTGGTTGAAGAAGGCTGTCAAGGATGGCTTAATAGCCATAACATCGGCTGATAAGGGCGGTGCGATAATCATTGTCACCCCTCAGATAATCAAGGATATCACTTCTGCCAAAGTTGAGGACCCTTTGAGATACAGACCTTTGCAAACTGATCCTACTGGATCTTTGAGAGGGAGGTTGTTAGAGCTGTGGTCATCTGGTTTGGAGCGGAAGTATGTAAGTGGTGAACAGTCTAAGTGTGTGGTTGGTTTGATTCAGAAGTCTGATCGGGACACTCTTTCACAGAGCACTTCAGATCTAGTCAAGCCCGATATTCCGTATGGTTACCCATTACTGAAAATTCACAAGCTGACTGAGACTGAAATTAGAGAGAAAAAGATTCCACCCAGTCGATTCGTGACTGATCTCTCTAGAGGAGTAACTGCAAGATCAGATAAGTTTGTTGTTTGGAAGTGGTTGGGACCTCTTGCCAGGGATTACTGTATAGATCTTGTTAAAGATTCAACTGCAGCTCTCATAAAACTCGAGGAATTGGCAGCTTCCGGACAAGTAGTCGATACTTGGATCAGCTTCAGTATTGATATTGTTTCTCTATACGATTCTCTGCAACATAGCTTGGTGATGTCAGCCTTAGATGATGCTATGGAGTCGTGTAGACCAGATTGGTCTGAGGAGTTCAGGACTTGGCTGAAGGGACTGATACAGCTTAGTTTTGATTCGGCAGTCTTGAAGAATGCAGACAACTGGTATGAGGTCGTTAACGGTGTACCCACTGGAGGTATCAATTCAGTGGATTGCGGTAACATTGCTTTGTTCTTTGTCCTAAAGAGTCTGGTTTACGACCCGGTTGTTAGACCAGAGGAGCTCAAGAACCTTGATCGGTTTGTGGATGATATTTCGGGCCAAGGTATGTGGAGAGGTTCTATGATTGGTTTTGAAGAATGGGTAGGGTCATTACGCAGTAAGATGGTTGATAACTATGGCTTAGATATTACATACGAAGTGAAACCAATCACGGAGTTCACTCAGTTCCTGGACATTCAGTACAAGTTTGTTGGAGGGAGACTCACAACAGATCTGTTTAGAAAACCTACTGACGCCAACAGGTATCTAGAATTCTCAAGTTTCCATCCACGACATACCTTCCGGAGTATAGTCTTCTCACAGGCACTTCGATACAGAAGGATAATCAATGATGACGTCTTGCTGGATGAGAGATTGGCAGAGCTTCAGTTGTTTTTTGAACGGTCTTCATATCCTACTGATATGGTGAGAGAGGTCATCAGTGATGTCAGATCGATACCAAGAACTTTACAGTACAAGGCAAAGGATCAGGGTCCCCCTTCTTTCACACCATGGATTGTTACATTCGGTGCGGGCTATGAGGAAACCAAGGAAAAGGCTAAAGAGGCCAGTAACATCATCTCAAATAGCCGTACATGGAGCAGTGAGAACCCTGAGAGGATCCCTAAACTCCAAGTGGTGACCAGGCGAGCCCCTAACTTAAAGGACACTTTATTCAAGAGAAAGAAGCTTGCCTTAGGTTCAGAGTCAAGAACAACTGACCCATGCACCAAACCTGGCGAGAAGAAGAAAGGCAGACCCTGCCAAACTTGTCACCTTGTTAGTGGCAATTCCATGGTCTCCAATAATGGACACTCAGTCAGAACTCAAGGTGGTAACTGTAAGACACGCAACATTGTGTACGGCGCGACATGCAAACTTTGTACTGTTAATAACGTATACGTGGGAAAAACAGTCACCAGCCTCAGCCAACGTGTGAATGGTCATCGCAGTAAATATTATGAGATTTTAGAGGCGAGTAGTAAGGGGAATGTTGAGAGCCATAGAGTTTTTGATGACGAGAATGTTTTAGGGGCACATCTTTTTTCAGTTCATAATTTGAGGGAGAGATCTGTTTTCAATGAAAGTTTCCATTTTGATATTTTGTGTTCTACATCCCCAGATAATATTAGAAAGTCAGAACAGTTTTATATTAACAAATTGAAGACACTTTATCCGTTTGGCCTGAACAATGTGAATTCCGTTTCTGGAAGCTAATTTTTCATGGTGTCCCGAATTTTATTTTTAAATCGTCCATTTTTTGTTTATATATGCAGTCTATCAATTTTTGAATTGCGTCTTTTTGATTTAATGAACTACTGCAGACTCCACATTATTATAGTATATGCGATTAATTTTGTTCCGATTTTAAACTATTCCATTTTTACGAGATGCTAAATTAATTTTTTGAGACTTTACTACATTTTTGATGAGAATTTTTGACATTTTCAAACTAACCATTGATATTCTCAGATTATGTGACTGATTAAATGCTGAAGATAAAAGAAATATATTCATTTTGCTAAGATTATGTTTGCGTTTCATTGCTCAACAGCTGTTCGAAGGATCAAATATAAGAATATAATATAATTATATTTATAACAATGACTCATAATTGCACTTCCTCTTCGATCCTGTGCTCATTAAAACAATCTTATATCTTTTCAAAACTATTCCTGACTATTACAGGTTCTTGTTAAATAATGATCGCAGACAATTACAGAATCAAACATTTCATACTCAACACCTTCAAAACATTATAACCCAAAAGAAATAAATAAAATCTAATTTAAAATTTAAAATTCATTCGTTTAGCTCATCACTGATGATAATTTGGTAACTTTTATCATTCATCATGGCAATTATCAATCCCCAAATGTGGCACATTTCATGAATTGCGTCTAGAAGTACAAACAATACCTAATGATAAGGTTGCTCCTAATATCAACGAACAGCGAAATTTAGTGTTTAAAAACTTAAAATGACTTTGATAACGTGAAAATTAAATTTGCAGCTTTACAATATAAATTATACACGATGATTAACGTTGATTACAAAAATGAATATAATGTAAGTAATCGAACAAAAAGAGAGGACATTTTTGATAAAAAATAGATTTAATGTTCGATGAACAACCCCTAAAATAATATCCGCAGTATGCTGTTATTACTTCTTTAAAAATATTTCAACTCCTATGCAATACACCTATAATACCTATTAAGTTTGCAGTTTTTCAGGTTAAAGTAATCATCAGGAGCTACATCATACATCGCTAACATGCTTCTAATTCTAGTAAGAAATGAGGACCTATTCTAAAATGATCCCTGTTCGAACTTAACTCAACTAATAACAGTTTTTAAATACTGAAAAGTAACCCTGATCGAGTATAAGACCAGTATCTGCCCTATAAGCAGGACAGAAAACTAATGATGATGTGACATGTTTAGTAAAACTGGAAGAAAAGTCCCGCAGCACAGGGATGCAAGATTAGTCCATTTTATACGAGCTCCACTTTTTTGAATCGTCATCTCTTGTTCTGATAATGTTATCACGCTGTCGGTTCGTGCAGCCTGGAATTGCAAAGAGCTTTATAAAACACAAGAAGTGTTGAATCACAGAAGAAACTCAGCTCTTCTTAATGTTACAAAAACTTCAGCCAGTTTTTATCTTCGGCCGAAGTTTGTATACATGTTGTTGACAATAAGATATTGTTCACAATTTACAAAAGCCACATTTTAGCTATTTAAGGCCCCCATCACCCCGTAACTGATGGTACCTTAATGTAACCAGAAGGTAAACCATTTCGGCCTAAGTTGGCTACATCTTGTAATAACAGTTAACTAATCGCATACTAACAAGTTCCATCAATCAAACTTAAGAGCCTCAGAATACCTTTAAATTATTAAAAAAGGGTATATAAAAAAGGACTATACCTCTTGGCTGATTTCGGGTAAGACATGAACTGTGCTAACATAGAGGAAGGTTCCAGCACTGAACAACATTACCCAGCCCGTGCTGTACTCTGATATCCCACCACTCATCTGGGGCACACATTTGACAATTAGATATCTGTTTATCACGTGTTCACCACGTGTCAAGTACTTATTCGAAACAGTAAAGTTATGTGATTCAGTTTTTGATTGAGACTGGATTTTTCAGGCAGAATAATAATTATTAAAAGTATCGAGAGAATATCATGAAACTATAGCTATTATAGTTGTTGGAAAGGGAAAAAGCAGTTTTGTGAACAACCATTCACTCACAGTGGTTAATGATAGGAAAGTTAAGATTGCTGCAACAGGGGCAGCCACAGAGAATATTATCAGGACTTTTCGTACTCTAGTTCTATCTGCTCCCTGAAAATGAAAATAAGGATTTAATTTAAGTGCTTTAGAGTTTAGAAGTATCATCATTCATCAAGGTTCTTAAATTAATTCTAACACTGTCTGGATAATTTTGAAATTTCGTCTAGACAATCATATCAAGATTTTTGGCTGATTGTCTTAGATTGAAGCCCTATACTCGTCACTACTCACTAGTCTCGCAAGTCGTGTTACGTACCTTCGTACAGGAATTGAAAATAAGCGCAGCGTACGTACGTGCCGCGCGCATAGCGTCAGACCTAACAAGAACAAAAGTTGCACCGCGCGCTACGCGAAGTCAACAAATTTGCCACACAAGGGTGCCGTCGCAGCTATAAACAGCCTACATTCAAACTATAGGAGCCGCTTTACTATTGTTCGTTTTACATTTTCTCATAGATAGGGAAGATAACCTTTTAGACGTCTCAAAAATAATGATTTTTAGCATCAATTTTAGGACTGGAGAATGCAGTGACCGAAGTAAAAAGGAATTAACCGATCGTGGCCCGTGGCACAAATCTACGAATCATTAAAATATGATCCCGAACACCGGAAAGATTAGAAAAAGTTTACAATTATTGATTACCGCGAAAGGAGTCAACTAGTCAATTCTAATATTTTATTAGTCAACAGAAGTGTTTTGATATTAATTAGCTGTCTCTATCTTATCACATATGGCATTCGGATTGAAATTGAATGATCAGAGTTCTCAGATACGCAGGTATGCAGGCATTAACAGAATGAAATAGACATGTCACGTATCGAACAGATCATCATCCATCATAACCCCTGCCCGTAATAACTTCACATAGCTGCATTTCTAAAATGTCATTAGCGTAATCACTTCGAAACACCCTGGGCCTCCCACGACCCTATAAAGTGATTAAGTAATATGAAATGGCCCCTTAGGCCGAATGCTAAATATAATTACTATCTTGAGGAAAGTAAATTTTACAGTTACAATGTGAATGCAAACTACTTCACCAAATTTCATTTAAAAAATCGACAGTATAATTGAAAAAATTTGTTTTCCTATTAATCCAGGATCAAATTAAAATCCACTTAAGTAGATATTTTTTGCCACTTTTGATTTTACCCATTATTGTGCAGAAATTACAAGCTTTTTCAAATCCCCACCCTCTAAACTAAACTGTAAACAATTTCCAACAATTGCGGATGAGAAATTATTTTGTGCTCACCTCCAACTTTCACTAACTTTGTTATACGATATAAATATGTCTGTTCCGGTAATGCAAATGTCTGTTGCAAGGAGCCCATTAAGATATTCTGAGGTCCAAACTATCCAAATTAAAAGAAGACGGTAATCTTATAGTAGGTTGGAATGTGCTGGTATGTAATATGAATACCAATGTAACAAGCGCTAACACTACTATGGTTTTTTTAGTTTTACGAAATCAGAAATGCGTGATAAACTATTAAAATTACCTACTAAATACGTAATTAGCGACTTAAACCTTACCAAAAAAAGTGCAAACACTGTTCCGTAGATTCTAGTAATATAACTTTATCCGATTAAGTATCACTGCAAAATTGCAAACTGTGAAATATTAAACCTGCGAAATATTAAACCTGCGTCCGGTTATCCCACTGTATACCTACTTTCTCCACATATCTCATAATTTTCCCAAATCTCATTAAAGTCCTTTGGATCTGAAATTCATGCCACAGCGGTCACTCCTTTGTGCTTTTGTGACACTCAAAAGTCATAAGCCACCGCCTAATTACAGCCCATTAATTATTAATTAATCTCCAGGATCCGTATTCCATAATATACCCAAAGACCCAACATATTATGCACTTTCATAATACATTATTTTAAACCGCAATCCATTAAAGGCACTGCAAATTAGATAATACGAGCTCAGCTTGTAGCCCCTCCCTTGGAGGAAATATAGAGGCAATATAGAACCTGTTAATAACGATTAACACCATGTCAACAGGTTTTTATTTAATATTTTCAGTCTACTTTCTCTTTCCAGAAGAAGATAAGACTTTGAAATTTTAAACAAATTGTCACCATCACGACAATACCAGACGAGTACGGAGTATACTGTATACAAATTATATGTATCAATTTAAAATTGTTATCAATTTCCCTGAAGGTAAGTAAGATATAAAAAGTTAAAACTAGCGAGGCACCTCGTGTAAAAGGAATGAGGTCAGACCAAAAGCAGCGGGGGCTTTGTGGAGCATTATGGCAAGGAATATAATGAACTCTATTTCAGCTTTGTCAGTGAGAGAAGCCGCTCCCAGGGCGATACCATCTGCAGCCGCATGGACTACTAGTCCTGGAAATAGGATGTATATTGTACTCCACTAGAATATACAATTATTGTATATTGTAGACTGTAGTGGAGTACTACACTGTGTAGGGTATGGTAATTATACTGTGTAATGTAGTGGAGTACTACACTGTGTAGGGTATGGTAATTATACTGTGTAATGTAGTGGAGTACACTATGTATGCAATAGTTATTTTATTATATAGTGTTTACTGTTTAATACCTTCTCAAATGATAAAATATGATATAGCTCAACTCTTTCAAGAGCGGTAAATAATATGCAGAGTGGATATCAAAATCTAAATTTACCTATAATTGTAGATAACGATTTCTTGCCAAATCCACCTTCTGAGTTAACTGAAAAATATACAAAATTACCACCTTGATAACATCCTGATAGGTCAAGATGAAAGATCATAATTTTACAATCACGATACATCAGAAAATAAACCAAAAAACTCCTAAAATACTCCGTAAAAAAGGAGAACTAAAACATACCAGGTCCGTGAGTGTGGGAGTGACCTCCGTGTGCGCCACCAATCTGATCCACTAACAACATGAAGATGAACCCACACGTGAGTGCCATTCCCACTGAACTACTTGCATCGTGTGTTAACATTCCTTCCTTCTCCTGGCTTTCTACCAAACCTTCTCCTCCTGGAGAAGAGGATCATAAAGTTGGGAATATTTGATATTTTAGAAATCAGGAAAAGAGTTTTTGGAGTAATAATAATATCTGACTGTAGTAAATTATTATTACTTTCAGTCAGCTACTGCTACCTACAATAAACCAAATACATTAATTAATTAATTAATTAATTAATTAATTATAATTACCAGGGAGATCGTGGGAGTGGCCCTGGTGAGCACTAGAGATAAGTATTGTAACTCCCTCTGGAATGATAACAGCCAGTGCAGTACCCACCAGCAGACCTGCACCCAGAGACGACATCAGTTGCAGGTTACTCTGGGGAAGTGTGTGTTATTGGGTTACTATTCATGGTATTCATGGTATTTATGGTATTTATGGTTTCCATTATTTTGGCCTTCCTAAAATTGACAAAGCAGATAGTTTCAGTTAAAATACACTATACAGTAATCATATGGATATCACAGCAAATAGTTTACTGGAAGATAGATGCTATCAAAGAATTCTCTAGTCAGTTGGTAATGGGCTTGAATTCACAGATTCATAGTACACAAAAACTAAAATCAGTTCAACAAAGATAAAGGAAGTCACAAACATGATTAGTTCGAACTAAATTTGAAAGACGTTTCCACAGAAACAAAATTTTGCTGCGGATAGATAACGTGGTGATATGTCCAAATTAATAAACAGGAACGTCCAAATGAATGAAGAAAACGTACTGCCAGCATAAGTCCTGTTAGTCTACTTTAATTTATCACATTATCGAATTGCTGCACTACTTAACAATTTCACTCAAGAACAGAACAAGACCGACAAAACAAGCATGTAGCTGACAGAACAAACTGCGGAAATGGTCACCTTATAAATCCACCATAATAACCTGTAAACTAAATTCGAACAAATTTCAGCCTAAGTTATACCTAAATAATATCACGTATAATTTTAATTCATCATGAGCCTCAATATTAGTCCAGCATCTATGTCCATTGTCCATCACTCTTCGAATGAGCTGATTGGCTGATCACATCTTATCTAATCTAAGACGAGTTATCTCCGTTTCTCAGAATATTGCTTATTTTCTCAATTTAAATAGATGAAAATGAATTCTACAGTTACGTGATTATATCACATAACTGATTATGATAGTATAACTAATCACGGACGGGCGTTGATCACGCAAACAAACTGGACACGGACAATAATACAAGTACAAATTACACACCGTAAAGGGAATTATTGCTCCACAGTCGGTCGTCTTATTGTTAGATTTCACATGATTGAGTTAGAAACATATAGAAAACGTATTGGCTACTTTAATAATAGCCACTCAAACAAGAAGAGAACAAAGAATTCAGTAATACACTCCACACCCGTTCAAAACTCATTCAAACCACATCACATATGTCTTGCTTTTATGTACTGTTATTTCGTCCTTGTTATGTTACTCTGTTTTACCACCTGTATTTTGGAAAACCCACCTACAAACCCTGCTAAACTGATACAGCTTATTAAATCTCCACTCCTACTAAATATTAACAGTCTTGGTAATTTACTTTGCAATTTCTACCTTGTTATCTTTGGTATTGCAATTAGACGTACAATGAGTAGCTTATCTATTAGAGGTAAAACACTACATACGTTGTTTGTTAAATACAATTCCAAACGAGCCTTAATCCCATATCTACAAAATATAACTGCATCACTTTACCTTTGGATACTACTCATAAACTTTCTCCTTATCTTTATTTGTAACCCTAGCATGAAAAATCCAGGACCCCCGGGAAACTGCTCAGTTTTTTATTGTAACGTTCAGGGCTTGATCCCTTTTGGTGAACTTGGAGATGCAAATCCCACTCTCCACTCTACAAAAATTCACGAACTAAACCATTTTATTTATATCAATAAACCAGATATTGTAGTTTATAATGAAACATGGTTAAAGGACAATATCCATGATAGTGAAATCATCTCGACAGCTGATTACAAAGTATTTAGACTTGACCGTTCTAGCTTTACTCATCCCCCGGACCCCCAGAATAGTCGGAAATTCAGAGTAAATGGGGGTGGTGTCCTTATTGCCATAAAACATTGTCTTGACATAGAATCTAAAATCATTCCTGTCAAATGTAGAGCCGAGATTTTGAGTATTGAGCTTTCTGACAAGTTAGGAAGAAAATCCATATTAAGCTCGTTCTACAGAGTTGGCACACTTGGCAATGATAACCATGATAGAGTCAAGCAATACCTACATAACATCCGTAGGCGTAGAAGAGTACAGAGCATTACCTTGGTTGGTGATTTGAATATGCCCCAGGTCAGATGGGATGAGGGCTCCTCCTCTGTTCCTATTGAACAAGCATTCATTGATACGTTTAATGATTTATCTTTACAGCAGCTGGTAACAGACCCTACACATTACAGGGGAAATGTTCTAGATGTAGTTTTGACGGATAAGCCAGAAATTATATCAGAATTAATTGTTGACAGTAAACATGGTATTTGTGGGTCGGATCACTATGCGATAAGATTTGACATAAGACTTAACGCTAGAAAGAAAAAGTCTACCAAACGAAAAATCTATAGCTTCAAAAGGGCCAATTGGACCAATTTAAATAATGCACTGAATTCTGAAAACTGGGAACATCTACTTAGTGGTAAACCAGTCGAAGAGGCCTGGTCAGTTTTCAATACTATTTTCACTTCTCATTGTAATTCACATATTCCTAAGATATCTGTCTCCGATGAATTTCAACCCCCATGGTTTGACTCAGATGTCTTTGATTTATGTAGAAAAAAGGAGCGACTACATGACGAATGGAAACAGTCTTCTAATCCAAAAAATATTTAAAATTTTCCAAAGCTAGGAGGGATTTTAAAAATCTCGTTGATGCAAAATTGGACGCAAACTTTGAAGATGATGATAACAGAAATCTCATTAACAAAAAGTTCTGGTCTTTTGTGAAATCTAAATCAAACTCTAATCGCATTCCTGAAACAGTCAGCTACAATGGTTGCCTACGGTCCGATCCGCAAGGACAGTGTGAGTTATTCAATAAATATTTTAACGAACAGTTTACAGAGGGTAGTGATTATGATATAGATATTGACTTTTCCAGTGACCGTGATTTTCAGGTCAATTTCGACACTTGTAAAATCAAAGGTTTACTTGAAAATATTGATCCAAGTAAAGCGCAAGGGGCCGACAATATCCATGGAAGAATTTTAAAGTACTGTTCAGTGAGCCTGTCTAAGCCTCCTGCTATCCTTTTTGAAGCTTCTTATAAAACTGGATGTATTCCAGCAGATTGGAAAATGGCAAACGTTGTTCCAGTTCATAAAAAAGGCTCTAAAATTGAAGTTAACAACTATAGGCCAATTTCTCTGACAAGCATTATTATGAAAGTTTACGAAAAAGTAATCCGGGATGAATTGCTCAATCGATGTGATCATCTTATTGATCAACGTCAACATGGTTTTATGAGTAGGAAATCATGTACAACTCAGCTAGTAAATTTCTGTGACAGCTTAGCCCTATCTCTCAATGACAATGTTCGCACTGACATACTATACTTTGATTTCCAAAAAGCTTTTGATTCTGTCAACCACGACATAATTCTGTTGAAGCTCAAAGAACAATATAACATTGATGCATCTCTACTGAGATTCTTCAAGTGCTACCTTGAAAACAGATACCAAAGGGTTGTTATTGGAAATAAAATGTCTGCTCCCTGTCAGGTTAGATCAGGTGTCCCCCAGGGCTCAATTTTAGGGCCTACTTTATTTATACTTTTTCTTAATGACATTACAGAGGATTTGTCACCGGAAACAAATATAACCATGTATGCTGATGATACAAAAATATGGCGTAGAATCACGTCCCAGGATGACCATTGGCTGCTCCAGCGGGATATTAACAGTCTTCAAAATTGGGCTCATCACAGGGACAAAAGGATTTCGCGGCATGTACGAAATCGCGAAATTTCCCATTCTCCGCGACAAATTTTATGTGTAGTTTAATGTATAGCCTGTTAAATTTCGCGGTACCGCGAAATTTGGCCAAAATAATCGCGAAATCCTTTTGTCCCTGGCTCATCATAATAAGATGGTGTTTCACCCTTCAAAAAGTCACGTTCTTTCTATTACCCGAGCATATTCTATGAATCGTAGTGTTAATTTTGTGTACTCAATGAATGAAACGGCTATCGAATACACAGACATTGAAAAAGATCTTGGAGTACATATCAATAGTAAGTTAGATTGGTCACATCACTGTGATATGATATACTCTAAGGCTAGTCAGAGGTTAGGCCTTCTAAAAAGAACATGTTACTTCACCAAGAACACTAAAAAACGTCGGGCCTTCTATCTATCTCAGGTTAGAAGTCATTTCGAACACTGCACAATTGTCTGGCGGCCTCATTCAGAAACCTCGGTGGAGAAACTTGAATCGATACAAAAAAGAGGTATCAAGTGGATCCTTAATGATATTTACTTGAGCCTTAGGGACAAAAAAAGGTATTTCATAGCGTGTAAGGAACTAAATATCCTTCCACTCTCGGTAAGGTTTGATTACAAGGATATATTATATTTTCATAATATTTTTTATGACATGTCAGTTGTGACATTTCCACCTTACTTACGACGTTTCATGGGAAGTAGGTTAAGGCGATCACATCTAGACGATCTCAGTATGATTAGTGACATTTCTCCTCAAGTTCCACAAAACCTTACGTCAAGCCAGACCAGATGTTCAGGCATATCTAAGTCTTACTTTTACAGAGCACACATTCTTTGGAATAAACTCCCTTATGAATTAAGGGAAATCTCAAGGCCATCCGTGTTTAAAACCCATTTAATTAAGTACCTCTGGACAGTTCTAAACGACCATATAACATCCTCTGACAGTTAAACAATTTACCTTAATGTAACTATATTGTCTAAATATAAATTGATATGAAGTATAATTAATAAAATATGTTAAATAAAGTGTGTGTGTTTATAATTATGATTTATGGTACATTGTTATTTATTATATTTATATTTTAGGCTGTAACCTTATTAATTCAATGGAATAAACCTAGCATGCCTTGGTTGCAGCATCGCTTCACTTATAGGTGCATTTAGGGCCCGATGTAATTGCTATGATCAGTTTACTGGTCAACTGGTGTTTCGGTGTCCCTTATTTTGTTTACACTCGGTCACTTGTCAAGGCATGTAAGGTCATTCGGCGATATTTTCTTTGAAATAAAATGATGTATTTGTGTAACAATTTGAAAGTTTATTGATAAAAAAAAAAAAAAATTAATTCTTTCTGGAGCTTACTTCGCTCAAAGTCATACTCAGGGGAACCATTCCTGCGCAGAAACAGCCAATCAACATCGAGATACTGAAGAGCAGCAACTGTCCAAATTCCGTAAATGCCATCACCGTTCCTATAAAGGATATATTTATTATGATCAACTAGTAAAATGTATCTTTATTCTCCACAATTGATATGACATTATTAATTATAATAATTTATCAGTTTCTAGGTCTCCAACTTCAGCAGTTGATTTGAATTGACATATTCATGAAATTCCTGCAAGTTAATAAATTTGAGGATCTTGTATTCCGGAGTTACATGTAAGTAAAAAATTAGAGCCTAAAGAAGTCTATTCAGTGCGAAAAAACCATAACAGCTTAGTCAATCAAAATTGAAATGAATTAAATATTAATATCCGTTCATTCAGTATTGGAATTTTCATAGAATTTGCCAAGTCGAACACTACGTACCCAAGAGATGGGAAACGTCCTCGCTTTGCAGGAATTACAAGTATGGGCTTGGCAGGAGATAGTAGTTCAATGAGTAATTGAATGAGTAAAACAACGGTAATTTATATCTAACAAGTGAAACAGAATCTTGACATTAATAAATTAGATACCACCAATATTGTAAAGTATTTAATACTCAAAGGGATGGGAAATATAAACTTACAAATAAAAATCATATAAAAACATCCCAATAAATCCTCTTTGATGAGGCAGATAGATCTGCAGTCCGAATGGTCATAACCATAGTGTACACACTATTTGGTCTACTTTAAAGATTGTTCAAAGTGTCATAATACGAAAGGAATGTTTACAAGTTATTTTGTTCTTAAATAAAATTAAACTGATTAAGATTTATCCATTTTGATGTTGGTGGTGTTATCTGATCTCATCATTAACACTACTTGTAGCGTCCTGAAACATCATACAATTTTAAGTTGGTAATTTCACACGATACTTTTAACAATCTCATTTATTATATTAATTTAATACAAGTCAATCTATTATATTATAATAAATCTATGTTTTCGAAAATCCAATCAATCAAAATAGGTAAGTAAGGGGGCACCATTGGTTTTGGCAGGTTGCATATTTATTTATTTATGTTTTAATTAAAAAATAAATAAATAAATAGGTAAGTATTAACTAACTAACGTAGTAATAACTAATAAATAAATAAATAAATAGGTAAGTATTAACTAACTAACGTAGTAATAACGACGTATGAACTAACCGATAACTGCATCACTTGTTTGACTTTTTTAGCTCGTTGTATAGCATTGGCAAAGACTTTATGATAAAAGAGTATACTCTGAGAAGAGTCGTCATTCCCGGGAATCACGTACGTAAGGTTAGTAGGGTCCACGTCGCTATCCAGGATACCTAATGCAAATAATAAATTATATAATATACGTATAATGATTCAAAATATACGTACTGTACTTCTAAATCTGTTATACTCCCTATTAATATAATATTATACTATTTACAGCTCAACGATACCGGCGAGAGAATTTAATCAATTTAATTTATATAAACAGCTCGTTATCCGAAACTCAGTATTGAAACCATGAAATTATTCCTTTGTACAGATCACTAGTCGACAGCTGTAGACTGTAGTCACTAGTCGACAGCTTATAGCTGTAGTCAAAAGCTTATAGCTGTAGTCAGTGACATAACACTGTCAGTCCGCTAGCTATTTTGCACACACTACAATTAGTGATCATGACGACAGATTAATGTGCCCAACATTGCATTGTCCATTTATTATTGAAAATTTGGAGATTTTCATAGCTCTAACCATCCTTAGAATAATAGTTGCCAATTAAATGAAATGTACTTTTGAACAGCATCAAACCATCCTTACACGGTACTAACGAACAGGCTTGTCCGTCGTGGCTAAATGGATCGGCGGCGGCGTTTCACTAAAATTACACCGGCGGCGGCGGCGTACGCCGGCGTGAGCCGTGAAATCAAGGCCAACTAAATTGAGGTCTATGAGATATGAATATGATCATGTACTTAATTTGGGTAATTTAGACTTAACTTATATTGTTATGGTATTATCTGCTATCAAATAAAACTTGAGACAAATTGATACAATTATTTTATTTAAGGTAAAGTACATAAACAATAAATTTTTGCTGAACTCAATGGATCTCTCAATCTTTTTTGTTGGAAACAAAATCATAGTTTTTAGAACAAAATTAAACAGTGTATATTTGAAATTCTTAACATTCATCCTAGATCGCTGACTAGAAAGAATTAAACCTGCAGCCGACCAGGTTCTTTCAATTTCCGCACTACTGGCAGGTATACAATGCACTATTCTTACTATGTTTGAGAGTATTGGGAAAGTTTTTTGCCTATCGGCCCAAAATCTTAGAAGTTCGAATTGTAAAATTTCTTCTTCAGTCAAACTTATGAGTAGGTATCTGCTCAGTTCTTCTGATAATCAATATTGTTAAGTTAGCTAAAGGTGTGTATCATGTGTGTGTTGCCCCTAGCCACTAATTGCTATCAGTAACACTGATATCTTCAAATGAAGACAGAATTATTTTGAAGTCAGAAAATGCACGCCGTACGCCGATGTACGCCGGGGTGTATCGGCGGCGTTCGGCGTGGAAAAATCACCCGGCGGCGGCGGCGTTCGGCGGCGGCGGACAAGCCTGCTAACGAATAACCAATTGTAATGAGTTCTAATGTACACTGATTTTATAACGTTTACCGTCTTAGCTTATTGTCCGTGTGTGTAGATAAGATAAATAGTGAAGTGTGAAAACCGCCAGTATTTATTCACCACTCAAACCTTTTATTGAGTTAAGTTATGTTATGTTGAGTTATGTAACGTTAGGTTACGCTAAAGCGTTTACACTCGCAACATTATTTATTACGCTACTATGTTTTTGAACTCTGCTGATGATAAACCTGATAATTGATATATCACAAAGGAAAACTGCAGCTGGGAAAATTTTGATAAAACAGATAATATTACAAAATTTTGGTATCGTATCATTAATTATATACTAGCAGGAACCCGTATAATATAACCCTAAACGGTGTCAAGACTCAAGAGACTAAAATAATTATTACCTATTTAATTGGCGTTTTTGACACCACTTGAGGGTCCAAATTTTGGGCTCTAAAATCATTATTCCTTGGCCAATTTTTTATTTTTTCATACTGATTTGGAGGCCATTAAAGCATTTGACCCTTCAAAAAAGTTTCAGTTGTATATCTTTTACAGTTTTTGCAGAAAGTCGCGTTAAAGTTGATGCCGTGGTGTCAGTAAAATGGCACAGATATTATATATCGTCTCGCTTTATATATAGTAAGATGATTCAAGAACACACATCTAAATATTTGTAGGTTAGATTAGTTAAAGAATACAAAGCTACTCGAAAACGGTAAATTGGTCTTACATTTTCAAATGAGCACTCTATAAAATCAGTACGGAACTAAGGGTCAGAAATTACAGTTGAGTGTTGAGACATCACTTCTATTGGGCCTCATAGAAACGTTTGTATTGTACGGTGTACACACACTTTCCTTCTCTTTACAAGAGATGTTGTCACACACTGAGATTATGAGTAAAGGGTACACTGAATGTGTTATAAATATGTAAAAAATGTACATTGTATAGACTGTACATTGTACAGTATATTTGATACGCTCTACCGTATACGTATCAAGTATAATCTACCTTACAAGACATATTTATAACGTACGAAATTTGACGGTTTTTGTTCAATTTCGCCATATTTTCGGACCGCCAAAATTTCGGTCGTCGCAAATTAGGCCGCCATAAATATGTCTTGTAAGGTATGGTGTTGTGCCAATAAGTACATTAGACCGATAATACTGTACATTGTGGTATTTGTAATTAAGAACATAAGGCTTGTATTGCTATGAAACAAAGCTATAATTATATCCCATGATTCAGAAGCCTCGCTAAACGGTTTATCCACTTTCACTTGTAGTGCTAAATTTGATTATAATCACAAAGAAATGCAAGAGTTGGGGTTTATAAATTGATCTGAGACCCCAATTCAATTTAGATAATTAAATTAGATATAACCTAGTATGAAAATTGATGTAAAATCAGCGGTAAAACAAGAGATAACTCTAACTATGGTGGGTACAAGGTATTTGTTGCAGTGTAGATATAGAAGGAGCTGCTAGCTTACCTATGGTGGGTACAAGGTATTTGTTGCAGTGTAGAAGGAACTGCTGGCTTACCTATGGTGGGTACAAGGTATTTGTTGCAGTGTAGAAGGAGCTGCTAGCTTACCTATGGTGGGTACAAGGTATTTGTTGCAGTGTAGAAGGAGCTGCTAGCTTACCTATGGTGGGTACAAGGTATTTGTTGCAGTGTAGAAGGAGCTGCTAGCTTACCTATGGTGGGTACAAGGTATTTGTTGCAGTGTAGCAGGAGCTGCTAGCTTACCTATGGTGGGTACAAGGTATTTGTTGCAGTGTAGAAGGAGCTGCTAGCTTACCTATGGTGGGTACAAGGTATTTGTTGCAGTGTAGAAGGAGCTGCTAGCTTACCTATGGTGGGTACAAGGTATTTGTTGCAGTGTAGAAGCAGCTGCTAGCTTACCTATGGTGGGTACAAGGTATTTGTTGCAGTGTAGCAGGAGCTGCTAGCTTACCTATGGTGGGTACAAGGTATTTGTTGCAGTGTAGAAGGAGCTGCTGGTTTACCTATGGTGGGTACAAGGTATTTGTTGCAGACTGCAGTGTAGAAGGAACTGCTGGCTTACCTATAGTAGGTACAAGGTATTTGTTGCAATGTAGAAGGAGTTGCTGGCTTACCTATGGTGGGTACAAGGTATTTGTTGCAGTGTAGAAGGAACTGCTGGCTTACCTATGGTGGGTACAAGGTATTTGTTGCAGTGTAGAAGGAGCTGCTAGCTTACCTATGGTGGGTACAAGGTATTTGTTGCAGTGTAGAAGGAACTGCTGGCTTACCTATGGTGGGTACAAGGTATTTGTTTGCAGTGTAGAAGGAGCTGCTGGCTTACCTATGGTGGCCGTGGGTACAAGGTATTTGTTGCAGTGTAGCAGGAGCTGCTGGCTTACCTATGGTGGGTACAAGGTATTTGTTGCAGTGTAGAAGGAGCTGCTAGCTTACCTATGGTGGGTACGAGGTATTTGTTGCAGTGTAGAAAGAGCTGCTAGCTTACCTATGGTGGGTACAAGGTATTTGTTGCAGTGTAGAAGGAACTGCTGGCTTACCTATGGTGGGTACAAGGTATTTGTTGCAGTGTAGAAGGAACTGCTGGCTTACCTATGGTGGGTACAAGGTATTTGTTGCAGTGTAGAAGGAACTGCTGGCTTACCTATGGTGGGTACAAGGTATTTGTTGCAGTGTAGAAGGAACTGCTGGTTTACCTATGGTGGGTACAAGGTATTTGTTGCAATGTAGAAGGAGTTGCTGGCTTACCTATGGTGGGTACAAGGTATTTGTTGCAGTGTAGAAGGAACTGCTGGCTTACCTATAGTAGGTACAAGGTATTTGTTGCTATGTAGAAGGAGTTGCTGGTTTACCTATGGTGGGTACAAGGTATTTGTTGCAGTGTAGAAGGAACTGCTGGCTTACCTATGGTGGGTACAAGGTATTTGTTGCAGTGTAGAAGGAGCTGCTGGCTTACCTATGGTGGGTACAAGGTATTTGTTGCAGTGTAGAAGGAGCTGCTAGCTTACCTATGGTGGGTACGAGGTATTTGTTGCAGTGTAGAAGGAGCTGCTAGCTTACCTATGGTGGGTACAAGGTATTTGTTGCAGTGTAGAAGGAACTGCTGGCTTACCTATGGTGGGTACAAGGTATTTGTTGCAGTGTAGAAGGAACTGCTGGCTTACCTATGGTGGGTACAAGGTATTTGTTGCAGTGTAGAAGGAACTGCTGGCTTACCTATGGTAGGTACAAGGTATTTGTTGCAGTGTAGAAGGAACTGCTGGCTTACCTATGGTGGGTACAAGGTATTTGTTGCAGTGTAGAAGGAGCTGCTAGCTTACCTATGGTGGGTACAAGGTATTTGTTGCAGTGTAGAAGGAACTGCTAGCTTACCTATGGTGGGTACAAGGTATTTGTTGCAGTGTAGCAGGAGCTGCTAGCTTACCTATGGTGGGTACAAGGTATTTGTTGCAGTGTAGAAGGAGCTGCTAGCTTACCTATGGTGGGTACAAGGTATTTGTTGCAGTGTAGAAGGAGCTGCTGGCTTACCTATGATGGGTACAAGGTATTTGTTGCAGTGTAGAAGGAGTTGCTGGCTTACCTATGGTGGGTACAAGGTATTTGTTGCAGTGTAGAAGGAGCTGCTAGCTTACCTATGGTGGGTACAAGGTATTTGTTGCAGTGTAGAAGGAGCTGCTAGCTTACCTATGGTGGGTACAAGGTATTTGTTGCAGTGTAGAAGGAGCTGCTAGCTTACCTATGGTGGGTACAAGGTATTTGTTGCAGTGTAGCAGGAGCTGCTAGCTTACCTATGGTGGGTACAAGGTATTTGTTGCAGTGTAGAAGGAGCTGCTGGTTTACCTATGGTGGGTACAAGGTATTTGTTGCAGACTGCAGTGTAGAAGGAACTGCTGGCTTACCTATAGTAGGTACAAGGTATTTGTTGCAATGTAGAAGGAGTTGCTGGCTTACCTATGGTGGGTACAAGGTATTTGTTGCAGTGTAGAAGGAACTGCTGGCTTACCTATGGTGGGTACAAGGTATTTGTTGCAGTGTAGAAGGAGCTGCTAGCTTACCTATGGTGGGTACAAGGTATTTGTTGCAGTGTAGAAGGAACTGCTGGCTTACCTATGGTAGGTACAAGGTATTTGTTGCAGTGTAGAAGGAACTGCTGGCTTACCTATGGTGGGTACAAGGTATTTGTTGCAGTGTAGAAGGAGCTGCTAGCTTACCTATGGTGGGTACAAGGTATTTGTTGCAGTGTAGCAGGAGCTGCTAGCTTACCTATGGTGGGTACAAGGTATTTGTTGCAGTGTAGAAGGAGCTGCTAGCTTACCTATGGTGGGTACAAGGTATTTGTTGCAGTGTAGAAGGAGCTGCTAGCTTACCTATGGTGGGTACAAGGTATTTGTTGCAGTGTAGCAGGAGCTGCTAGCTTACCTATGGTGGGTACAAGGTATTTGTTGCAGTGTAGAAGGAGCTGCTAGCTTACCTATGGTGGGTACAAGGTATTTGTTGCAGTGTAGAAGGAGCTGCTGGCTTACCTATGATGGGTACAAGGTATTTGTTGCAGTGTAGAAGGAGTTGCTGGCTTACCTATGGTGGGTACAAGGTATTTGTTGCAGTGTAGAAGGAGCTGCTAGCTTACCTATGGTGGGTACAAGGTATTTGTTGCAGTGTAGAAGGAGCTGCTAGCTTACCTATGGTGGGTACAAGGTATTTGTTGCAGTGTAGAAGGAGCTGCTAGCTTACCTATGGTGGGTACAAGGTATTTGTTGCAGTGTAGCAGGAGCTGCTAGCTTACCTATGGTGGGTACAAGGTATTTGTTGCAGTGTAGAAGGAGCTGCTGGTTTACCTATGGTGGGTACAAGGTATTTGTTGCAGACTGCAGTGTAGAAGGAACTGCTGGCTTACCTATAGTAGGTACAAGGTATTTGTTGCAATGTAGAAGGAGTTGCTGGCTTACCTATGGTGGGTACAAGGTATTTGTTGCAGTGTAGAAGGAACTGCTGGCTTACCTATGGTGGGTACAAGGTATTTGTTGCAGTGTAGAAGGAGCTGCTAGCTTACCTATGGTGGGTACAAGGTATTTGTTGCAGTGTAGAAGGAACTGCTGGCTTACCTATGGTGGGTACAAGGTATTTGTTTGCAGTGTAGAAGGAGCTGCTGGCTTACCTATGGTGGCCGTGGGTACAAGGTATTTGTTGCAGTGTAGCAGGAGCTGCTGGCTTACCTATGGTGGGTACAAGGTATTTGTTGCAGTGTAGAAGGAGCTGCTAGCTTACCTATGGTGGGTACGAGGTATTTGTTGCAGTGTAGAAAGAGCTGCTAGCTTACCTATGGTGGGTACAAGGTATTTGTTGCAGTGTAGAAGGAACTGCTGGCTTACCTATGGTGGGTACAAGGTATTTGTTGCAGTGTAGAAGGAACTGCTGGCTTACCTATGGTGGGTACAAGGTATTTGTTGCAGTGTAGAAGGAACTGCTGGCTTACCTATGGTGGGTACAAGGTATTTGTTGCAGTGTAGAAGGAACTGCTGGTTTACCTATGGTGGGTACAAGGTATTTGTTGCAATGTAGAAGGAGTTGCTGGCTTACCTATGGTGGGTACAAGGTATTTGTTGCAGTGTAGAAGGAACTGCTGGCTTACCTATAGTAGGTACAAGGTATTTGTTGCTATGTAGAAGGAGTTGCTGGTTTACCTATGGTGGGTACAAGGTATTTGTTGCAGTGTAGAAGGAACTGCTGGCTTACCTATGGTGGGTACAAGGTATTTGTTGCAGTGTAGAAGGAGCTGCTGGCTTACCTATGGTGGGTACAAGGTATTTGTTGCAGTGTAGAAGGAGCTGCTAGCTTACCTATGGTGGGTACGAGGTATTTGTTGCAGTGTAGAAGGAGCTGCTAGCTTACCTATGGTGGGTACAAGGTATTTGTTGCAGTGTAGAAGGAACTGCTGGCTTACCTATGGTGGGTACAAGGTATTTGTTGCAGTGTAGAAGGAACTGCTGGCTTACCTATGGTGGGTACAAGGTATTTGTTGCAGTGTAGAAGGAACTGCTGGCTTACCTATGGTAGGTACAAGGTATTTGTTGCAGTGTAGAAGGAACTGCTGGCTTACCTATGGTGGGTACAAGGTATTTGTTGCAGTGTAGAAGGAGCTGCTAGCTTACCTATGGTGGGTACAAGGTATTTGTTGCAGTGTAGCAGGAGCTGCTAGCTTACCTATGGTGGGTACAAGGTATTTGTTGCAGTGTAGAAGGAGCTGCTAGCTTACCTATGGTGGGTACAAGGTATTTGTTGCAGTGTAGAAGGAGCTGCTGGCTTACCTATGATGGGTACAAGATATTTGTTGCAGTGTAGAAGGAGTTGCTGGCTTACCTATGGTGGGTACAAGGTATTTGTTGCAGTGTAGAAGGAGCTGCTAGCTTACCAGAGGCACATATTAGGTGCGATGGGTGCGGGATCGCACAATTTACCGTTTTCCGCACATTTCCGCATAATTTATTGTTTTCCGCACACTTCCGCACATTTTGTAATTTTCTGCATATTTCCGCATAATCTAGCATTTTCCGCGTAATTTCGCATAATTTTGAAATTTTCGCGTTAAGAGTGTAAAAACCAAAATATGTTAAAAGTCGGGCCCTTTTAGGACCGTGACTCAGGCCCTTTCGGGACCGTGACCCAGGCCCTTTTGGAACTCATGCCTAGGCCACGTGACCCGGTAACCACGTGACCCGGTTACCACGTGACCCAGGCCCTTTCGGGACCGTTACCCAGGCCCTTTCGGGACCGTGACCCAGGCCCTTTCGGGACCGTTACCCACTCCCAGGCCCTTTCGGGACCGTGACCCAGGCCGTTATGGAACCCTCGTCGTTACCGTACTTCGATCATACCTGCAGCCCTTTTTATCGGGTAATGAGCTCTATTGACTATTCGTTGTAGCGTTGGCTTTATAGTGGGTTTAATGGATCTTGGATCAAATGGTTTACAAGTACTGACGATCGATGCCAACAAGCGTGTCACATATATTTGCGATCACGCATGGGATCTGATCGACTCTATCAAGAAGCGTCTTCAAATAACTGTCTCCTGATCTTTACCAGATCAAGTCACTGTTCTCAGATAACTGAATCTCAATATAGGTTCAATCATGGTCTTAGTAAAGAACTACAGTTACACCCTCAGTAACACATAAACACTAAACAGACCTATTTTTGATAAGAGCGGCGGTTATACGTTTAGAATTTCCAAAGTCCTTCAGAAAATGCAAAAGAAAACCGCACAATTCCCGCACAAATTTCGAAAAAATCGTCGCACATTTGCCGCATAATTGGTAAAAATTTACCGCACCTTACCGCACATTTTACCTTTATAGTCGGGTGCGGTACCGCATAATTTCGATTTTTTTACCGCACCTTATATGTGCCTCTGTAGCTTACCTATGGTGGGTACAAGGTATTTGTTGCAGTGTAGAAGGAGCTGCTAGCTTACCTATGGTAGGTACAAGGTATTTGTTGCAGTGTAGAAGGAGCTGCTAGCTTACCTATGGTGGGTACAAGGTATTTGTTGCAGTGTAGAAGGAGCTGCTAGCTTACCTATGGTGGGTACAAGGTATTTGTTGCAGTGTAGAAGGAGTTGCTGGTTTACCTATGGTGGGTACGAGGTATTTGTTGCAGTGTAGAAGGAACTGCTGGCTTACCTATGGTGGGTACAAGGTATTTGTTGCAGTGTAGAAGGAGCTGCTGAGATTGGGGGTTATTAACACTGGAACATATCACCAGATCTGGCTTGTTCTTATCAAACCAGTCCATGTTGAGTTCTGTGTATTTCTTAATCTCGCCAGCTTCTGTCCAGCTCCGTTCGTGGCAGCTTTTGGCTCCTTCCTGAGAAAGTATTGTTAGTGTTTTGATGGTTCCAATGTTAATGTGGCTCCTGCTGAATTGTTAATTTTTATAGTTTAGTAAGTTGTCATCTGGCCATACAATATGGTTCACTTATAATACTGTTGTCTCCATTAGTTTTATATCCAAATAATGTCAATGTAATTTTGCATTGGACACGAAGGGAAACACACAATGTAAGGCTGGAAATCGTCGTAAAACTACATCATTAGAGCCTGTAAATTAGCCTGTAAATTAAATTTAGCGCAGACATCAATTATTTATTCTTCGCGCGTTTGGGCAATTTTGTCGGATTTATGGGAGTTCAGAAACTTAAGCAGCTGCAGAATTTCAAAACTTCAATTATAGACCTTTTTCAATATTAGTATTACTATGACAAATACTGTCATAATATCGATTATCGATGTTCCGTGTTACTTTGAAATCATACATATGCACTATGCATTATGCATGATATTATGTTGTATCAATACCTACTAACGTACTAATTTCTGATGCACAAGCAGAAGTTCACAGCAATTTCAATAAAATATCACTTGATATTTTCCATAACACATTAGTTTCATCACGGTCATGTTTTGTATCCAGTGCGGTCTGTACTACTGTTATAATATAATAATATGATGTTCAATACATTAATACATTTAATAAATCTAACATTATAATATTAAAATAATACATTATAATGTTATGTGTATATTTATTAGCCAACAAGTCTTTAAAAATAGCATCTAGCTCTGCGGCTCAGCCAATTATTAAATTCTAAAGGATTTTGCTTCACAAAAATGTGCTTTATGTATTTGCTTAGCTGCGGAATGAAAAAGGCCCACTTGTAGATTTCCATAAAAAGCCCTAAAATGGACATTTTGTAACATTCTTGTTTTCATGATATCTTAATATATGTTTACGAACCACAGCTAGTTTAGTATATGTAATTTAACACTAAAACCAGGTTATTATGCAGCAAACTTGTATAAAGGCATTACAATAAACTTGTGTATATGGCTCATCAATCAATAAAAAGGCCCATTTCTATTATCTTTTTGAATAACGTAACATGGTATACAAATGAGTATGTTATACATAGTTTTGATTGATCTATGTATTAAGGTTATTAAAGTTGTTGATGCATTTAAATAAAGACATGAAACAACTTAACAAATTTAAAAAATGTTAATTGGGACCAAAATATAGAATTTTGTAAACCATATAAATAGTAATGTAATTTAAATTTACGACAGAACGCGGTAATTTAATCAAATGAATATAGCTAATTAAATAAAGGTTGGATATTTAAACACGGTTTAATTTATATAACAAATTGTATAGAAAGATAGAAATTGGGGCCCTATATATTAGAAATTTTTAACAATAAAATGTCAGGTCACAGTTTGTCCACTGAATGGCAGAGTACAATTGACCTCGTAATTGTATACATGAAATTTAACAATTTGGTGTACAAAATGCTGAGTACCGGGAACATTAAAAACTTACAAAATTCAATGTAATGGGCCCAAGTACAAAATATGGTTCAATATAATGTTGATAAACCCTTAATGACCTAGGCAACTGGTCTGAACTTCAAAAATATAAAAAAGCTTGCCTACACCCCTCACACTAGGATACATACTAAATATACAATATACTCCAATAAAATTACTTTTCTAATTTTACATTATTCAAGTTCCGCATCACATTTTAAACAAAATTATAACGAATAAGGATTGCTTTACAATTCCTGTAATGAGAAACTAAAAACCATGATAACCCAGTACTAAGAAACTATTGAACAATCCAAAAATGGCTTTTTGTAGTAAAAACATAAATATGTTACAAAATTTAATGATTCCATTAAATTATCTTATACAATTTATATTAAGTTTAAAGTAGATACCCACACGGTTCACAGAATAGAGGAGCAAAATTGGGCTCTTTGTTCTGCGACCGTGTTACCTCGTGGGCGACAGTTTTGTTGAGTAGTAGTGCTGGGGAAAAAAACACTCTTAAATATCAATGACTGTAAATATTGTTCATTGAACCATTAGTTGCCCACAGTTTATGCCACAGTTATGTGGTCACGAAACAAATTTTATGGTCAAACATATATATCGTAGAAGGGCATGATTTAACCCCATCACTAAGCATCTGGAAGGATAATAGCAACACAAGGATAAACTGAGCTTTAAAACATGACCACCATCCAAAGCATAAACCATAGCTCCCAAATAAATAAAATTGCTCTACATAGAAACATCTTGCCTGATCATATCACATTGTGTCCCCCTGGGGTTCGTAAAGCCCTTACAGGCAACTGGTTCCTTTTACTACCAGCCACAATAAAACTAGTCATGCATGCCAGTACTGTCATAAACTGTAACCAACTATTTATAAATGAGTGTATCATTTGCTAGAATATTAAATTTTAAGCCATAGATGCAATACTTCTCAAATTTAAATTTAAAAAAAACATATTTAAAACCTATCAATGATGTGGTGTCATTTCAATACATAACTAAAATTCAACTTTGAAAGTCATAAGTTATTAGTCACAAACAAAAATTATAGTTAAGACATCATTTTCATTGTGGTTTCCCATTATTGAGAATTTATGATCTGTAAATGAAGAATAATTGGTAATAAATTTAGACTTTTGTTTTATTAAACCATTTTGTTTGTTATTAATCAATTTTTTGGGGCCCATACAAAATTTGTCAAGATCTGGTTGATGGAACCCTTTTTGACCTGAAAAACTGGTATGACTCAAAAACTATAATTAAGCTTACCTAACACCCCTCACACTAGTGTACATACTCTATACACTTAATTTCTAATGTTTACAAATTCAAGTTCCGCCCAGCCATTATAATTCAAATTATTTGAATAAGGATTGCTTCAGAATTTGTATGAGAAATCTAAAAACCATGTTACAATACAAAAATATATTGAATAGTCCAGATAAAGACCTTGGCAGATGAAAACAAAAATATGTTACAGAATTACATGTTTTGGGCCCAAGTAACAAAATTTGTGACAAGAATAATTGTTGAAGGAACCCTTTGTGGACCTAGAAAAACTGGTATGAAATGAAAAACTATCAAGAAGCTTCTCTAAAACTCATTTGAAAAAGAGTAACATAGAAATGTGTTACACAATTCAATATCCAAGGGTCCCCCAACTAAACTGCTATAACTCAAGACCTTAATATGTTAAAAATTCCTGATTCAAGGAGCCCTCAGTCAAAGGTCAAGTTTTTATGTCAGTAGTGTTTCAGTTTCTAAAAATGTTAACAGAATTTCCAATCCCTAGGGGCCCAGAAGTAAGAGTGGGAGAAAGTGTACAAACCACCACCCAGGTTTTGAAACACGTCCCTTTACAGCTTGTCCAAAATACTGCTCAGCTCAGCCTCATAGATTATCAACTCACAATCGTATGGCATTGAAGCAATCAGTGCCCATAGTTTTGAACTTAAGATGTCCTCCAACAAAAGCATCTATGGTCTATGCAAGCAATGTTTCTGTAAGAATTTGGTTCCTAGATGCCATGGGTGCTGAAGATAACCAAATTTGCTATAAGCAACAAAGAAGGGTCAGAACGATGTGCCAGAATCAGTAATGACAGGAATCTGAACTCCAATGCAATCGTGAGTAAAAGACCATCCCTGGTAATTACAAGATCTAATATGCCCCCATCTCTGTGTGTTGCACTGAAATTGTTGTTGCACCCACCCACACGACTTACGGTAGTGAATTAAACCATTGTGCAACTGAATCATTTTTCTGTCTTCAATATGGATAATAAAATCACCACAATAGAAAAATATATGATAAGGTAATGATGTATTGTGTATTAACGAAACTAACTGCACACTAGAAAAATCGCCTAACGGAATAAAACGACATCACATTAACTTGGATTCCATGACCGATACCAAGATCCCATCCGCACATCGGGCAAAGGGGGGGGCTTGCCATATAACATACACAAACGTAGTAGCGACTCTTGATAAATGATGTTTTTCAATCCCAAACGCCGAACCCTCAAATAATAGCGGCGAATTCATATTATCAAGCTCCACCAGTGTAAAGGATATCAATAAAACCAAGATAATTGGAAATGTTTATCGCTCACCGACCCTCTAGAAAACCTGAAGCATATCTGAAATTTTTTAAAAGTACGCTCACAACCTGGAAGACACTCTCGGCAAACCATATGACTACAGGAGATTTTAACCTAAATTAAACTGAAGCACAGTAGCCAACCAGGCAGGTCCAAAGCATTATAGGATATTGCAACCTCTTACGGTTTCAAATCCAAATTGTATCACGTCCCAACACGCATAACAGACCACAGTGGCCACGCTAATTGATCATAACTTACACGAACACTCTTGAAGTACAATAAGCAGCCACTTATTAACACTAGATACTGTCGATCACTTAGCGATAGTATACAACATTATAATCTTGAATAATACAATCCACCAGCAGTTACCACCGCTCCGCATCATATAATCAAAATCCAACACAACCAACGACGTAGTTTTAATTAGGCCAACAACCATAAATTTAGAGAGATTTTACATAATGGGAAAAGAAAATTGGGTCTTAAATCTAACAAATAACCCCTGAAGCTAACCCCATCATTTTTGATTGTTTAAAAATCGCGGCTCGTCTTACAACAGGATTTATAACGCTGCATACCCACAAAAAGACAGACCCCCGAGCGCACACAAGACAAAATGAACGTGTTAATCCCAAACCATGGATACTGCCGCTGAGGCCTATGAAGAAACTATAGAAACGTAAAAAATCAGGCATATCAAGATTTTGTTAAGGAACCAGTTGGGATAGGAACCAGCTTAAAAATACGAAAAACGTTTTGAAAAAGTTTTGCACCAAACACGTTGACAAAAGCCCAAAAACATACACTACAAAAAAAATCTTATGAACAACACAAAAGGATAATTCTAGAAGCATGGCAGATGATTAATAACGGACTTCTGAATAGGAAACCCAGCCAAAAACCTACATCGAAAAAACTGACGGACGAAAACGGACAAGTCAGCACTGTGCTCCGGCAGCAGTAGCAGAAAAATTTAATA